AGGTGGAGGCTGAGGGCATCCTTGACCTATCGTTTCTGTGCTGCTAAGGGCCTGGGGTTCTGAATGCTCCGAGAGCGTCGCTTAGCAACCTCCGGGATTCAGAAGGGGCGCCGCGTGCGGTTGAATCTGGCACGCTGCCGCGGGAGTTGCCTGGGCTGTCGCTCTCGGCAGTGCCTGTGGTGCACGTGGGCTGGGGGTGGCTGCTCGTGAGAGCCTCTCTCTCCTCTCACGTGCCACGAGGACAGGGAAGTTCCAGGGAAACCAAGGGGCAGCAGATCAAAGGAAATGCACAATGTGTGATCGGCCTGCGGAACTCTCCGCCACAAGGTGTCATTGAGGGTGCAAGCTCAGGGAAGGCTCAGCTACTTCTGTGCTGAATGAGACCAGCCAGACTCACAATACTAAGGGTTAAAAGCAGTTTGGGAGGGACCCGTGCCTCGCCGTGAGAGAGCCCTGAGTGATGGGGCTCCCGTCCCGTCCTTGGGGCGAGGGGCTGCGGCAGGTTCAGCTCCTCTGGTGCTGTGTCTGGGGATCATTGGCTCAGGTAGCACTTAACTTCTCCGTATCTTTATGAACAAAGGGAATTGCCCTGGTTATGCCGTGTGCTGGGATCCCTCCTATGAGGGCAGAGTGGCTGTAGTGGGGATACTCTAGGAGTTCAGCCCCATTATGTGAAAGTCGTGGTTAGAGCTGGAGCCCAGACTTCACTGCCCTGTGGCCAGGGGGCTGGGAGTCACTGTTCCGCCAGGAGGCTGGAGGCTGGAGTCGTCTCAGAGTCTGTCTACACAGCAAAGCAAACCCCCAGGCTGGCCGTGGGGCTCGTCCCTGCAGTGTGGATTCTGCAGTCTGAGCTCTGGGATCCTCCCGCCCTGCTGGGTCCTAGAGCCCTGAGCTCCAGCCCCGGCCCCAGCCATGAAACAGCCCCGCAGCGCAGCCCAAGTCAGCTGGCAGGGGCCAGCCATGGGGGTTTCTTTGGTGTGTAGACAGACCTTTAGGAGCTTCCCCATGGGGCTGGGCTGGTGGGTGGCCGAGGGCCCCAGGATGGAATGGCTGGAGCAGGGGCCTGGAGCCGGGGGTGGCTCTTGCTGTTGGTGAGTCTCTGGAGCGTGGCACTCCCAGTTGGGCTGGGCTGGGCTGGGCAGGGCCCTGGGGTGGCTGCCCCGCAGACCCCGTCCCCCA